CCACCCCTGCCTTGAACTAGGAAGTGTCAGGTGCTGGGAACCTCTGAAAGGCACTGAGGCACATTAGCCGCTGGTGATCCTCTGTACTCTTTCTTTATTTGGGCCACCCATCTTCCCACAGTCACTAGGTTCCTTGCAATCCAAAACTGAGATACAATTTTAGGATGTGGCTCTTACCAGACATTCTGGGCAGAAATAGAAAATCTCTGGCCTTCTTGGTCACAGACAAGGACAGACCCTGCCACAGCCTCCGCCCCAGGGCTGGCCCCAGAACGAAGGACAGGCTGGTGCAGGTGCAGTGAACACGTCTCCCAGTCCACAGTGACCTCTTTGGTGGTCACTGGCAGAAGGCCCCAGGACTTGGGGCTGGAGATTTCTCTGGGCAGAACCCCACTTCTTGAACCTGGCTCCTGAAGTTGGCTCTCTCAGTGGCCCCCTGCCCAGGCCTGAGCAAGGCCCAGTGTCCCAGCAGGGAATGTGGGCTGCTGGCCAGGATAGCATCGCCCAGGGATGGGGCTGCAGGCCTAGCTTTTCACCATGGGCTTTGCTTTTTGCCAAGGCCACCAGGGGATTCAGAGGAGGCCAAACTGGCAGAAGTGGGGCATGGACGGAAAGGAAGCCCCCCCGAGCCACACCAATCCAAGGAGAGGTTGGGCAGAGTCTAGTCATGCACATTCTGAAATCCCGTTTGAAACGGAACTTGTGAAGAATTCAAACTGGGTCCAGCTCCAACCGAAGACACACACAGAGGGAGGTGAGGAGGCTAGAACTCCCACCCACGGGGTGGGGGGAGCCGAGACCCCAGCAGGGTGAAGGTTGGGGGCTCCATTGTGGTTTGTTTCCTCACCCACCACTAGGCAGGTGAGTTTTGGCGCGGGCTCTGGATGCATGTAGCATATGCATGCACCCAAGTTCCCAGCAGCATTTAGCTGCCAGCCAGGCCATGTAAGACCTAGGTCTCTGAAGAAGGAAGGACTGCATCCATTCAGGCTCTGAGCCATCCGCTGAGCCATCCACCTAAACTGTGCCCAGCTGGGGGCCTCAACAACGACAGGTGAGACTGGATGTCCTGGACATGGAGGAGGAACACACAGACACACACTAACGCATCTGCCGGGGGCAGGTGGCTCCTCACTGAGGGTGGCCCTGGATGGGCAGAGGGCTAGGGTGGAGGGCTTCATCTTCGGAATGGGGCAGGAGAAGACTGTGTGCAACCACTTTGACTTTGGTGGGCCCTTCATTGGGGCAGGATCCCCGCTGGGAGAGAGGCGTCTGCCTTGGGACACTGTCACCACCATGGGTCCCCTCTCCGGGATCATTAGCCTGGAGATTCTTTCCAGTGCTGAGCTACAACTCAGCCTTCTCCCCAGCTCCCAGCAGGGTCCCCAGCTTCCAGCTCTCAACCACGGGGTCCAGGAACCACCCGACCCCTAGACCCTCTCCAACCCTCTTTAAGAACCTGGGAGCTCCACTGAACAGAGGCTGAAGGGCCAGTGGGCAGATCCCAAGCTTTCTCCAATGTCCTCTGCACCCTAGAGCATGGTCCCTGGGCTCCTCACTCTCTCATATGAGGAGGAGTTACAGAGAAATGATGACTTCCTGGACTCAGAGTTGGAGGACTCAGCAGTGGATTTGCCATGGAGTTGGAACTGTGCACCTCAGGCACAGTCAGTGAACAGGGGGTTGAAGCAAACCACAGGGGTGTCACACACTCCGTGAGGCCAGGGACCCTGATGATTTGGGATTCCAACAGCCACCCACCCAGGGACCTGCCCTTCTCATTCCCAGACCCAAACCAGTGAAGAACCCCTGGGCCAAGGCATTATGCTGTAAAGCTTCCAGAAATTCTCATGGACAAAACTACCCAGTGCCGGAGAAATATCTGTCTCCCATTAGAGCAGAATCCACCTAGCAATCTGAATCCCCTCTATTAAGCAGATACCTTGATGCTTCTTAGAGGTTTATTGAAGGCAAAAGATTCCCCTATTCCTGCTCCACAGCTTGTTTTAAGATTCTCTTTCAGTACAGATGTGGTGCCAAGTCTCTCCTCACACAAGTGCTTCCTAGTACCCATACAGGTTTTTGCTGCATGGCTGCCCTGTTTGACTGAAGTTAATGTAGAGGTTGGCTGGGAGTGGGGCGGGTGTGGGTGAGGAGAGGTGGTGAAGGGTGGAGATGGCTGGGGGTGGGTGCTGCTGGGAGGAACAGATGCTGCAGAGCTGGGAGAAGGGAGGCAGGGTTAAGCTGTACCTGGGGGTTGGTGAGTAGCTCAGGGTATTAGGCAGAGGAGGTTGGAAGAAAAGGTGGCCAACATTTACTGAAACTTAATTGTGTAAGCAGTGCGCTGACAGCTTAAAGAGCCTCAATTCACAATAACCATCTGAGGAAGATGCGATTATTATCCTACGTTTCAGGTGAAGAAACTGAGGCACAGAGAAGGTTAGCCACTCGCTCAGGGACACAGCCAGTAAAGGGAGGAGGCAGGGTTGCAACCCAGGAAGAAGTCCAGCTTCAAAGCCCACCCCAGGAGGCAGTCCTCAGATTCTGGCTCAGCTGCCGCCCGGGGAATCTCCGGGTCTGGTGCTGCCATCCGCCCTCAAGCCCCTGGTGCTTCCCCTCGGTGCCTGGACCCCATCTGTCCCTGACGCCCCCATCTGGGTTGCGGGAGGGGCCGACAGGCTTTGGCAATTAGCGGGCTCGCGTGCGGGCGCGGGCGGGGGAAGAGCCGAAGCTTGGGACCCGAGGGGTCCCTCATTAGGGCGGCCGTGAGGGACCGTCGTTAGCGCCGGGACAGCTGTCGCCCCCGCCGGCCCGAGGCCGCAGTCGGAATCTCGGGCCGCGTCCTCTGCCCGGTTGCGCCCGACACACCCCCGAGCAGTAATATGGAAAGTGGTTGCAGGCTGCACGCCTTCAGGGGCCAGGCAGTGCCACGCCAGCCCTGCAGTCTCTGGGAGTGCGGGTGATCCCCCGGGGAACTTCAGATTCCCCTTTACCGAGGGCTCCGCAGACACGCCGGTGAGCCGATTGGCCCGTGGACCTTCCCTTTGCAACCCGCCAGGCCGCGCGGTCCACCAGGACGGTCTGGCAGGACTCTGGGTTTGGAGGTCGCGCCTTTCCGTGTCGCCACCCTCCGGGAAGACTGCTCAAAAAGCTCGCTCTGAAATGCACGCTGGGGTCCCCGCGGCCCCTCGCTTCCCGGATCCCGCGCAGGCTAAGGAGGGGAGGGTGCGGAGGGACAGTCGGCTAGCTGGAAACCCCAGCTCGGCCACACCCGCCCTGATCGAAGCAGCTGGCTTGGACCGCGCGCGCGGCTTTCCTTTGATGACATCGCGGTGGCAGCGCGGCCACAGCCCTCACTGGTGGTGGGAAGGATTGAGGCTCCCCCAAAATCGCCTTCATGCACGTGGAGCCAGAATCGCCTTCATGCACGTGGAGCCGAAACAATCGCCCAGGGGCGCATCCTCCGGGGCCAACGGACACCGACCCGGCGCGCGCTCCCGGGTCCACGCGCCCGACCCCACAAGCACAGCCTCGCCAAAGGCTTTTGCACGCCCACCACACACCCGAGGCCACGCGCACTGGGTCATGCACACGGGCTCACGCGCCCGAGTTCGTGCTCACAGGACCACGCACACCAGCGCTTGCACACCCGCGCCCAGGCTGGACCACGAAGCAGCGGACTCTTTCTGGACCCTTCCGGCCCTGATGAGCCCTGGAGGCTGTGTGAGTCAGCAGTTGTGAGGCCACAGGCAGATGGATTCACAACCCTCTCCCTGGCTGGCCTGAGAACTGAAGATCTAAGTCTTGTCTGTTGCCCTCCCTTCCCCACCTTTCCCTCTGCCTTCCTCCCTGACCAGGCTGGCTCACCGGGTACTCTCTCCCCAGCCCAAGTCCTGGAGCCCAGGGCAAGGGCCACCACTAGAACTGGGCCCAACCAGGACCTTGAGCAATTCCCGGTTCTTCATCCCCAAAACCTGGCAGTAGAAGCTTGTCTTGCAGAGCAGAACTGGGCTGCCTTTCAGAAGCTGTGTGAGGCTCTGAACCTCAGTGTCCTCAACTGTAGAATGGAGCCAGAACTGATGATCTTGAGTGTTCCCTGGGCACATCAGGCTCTGCCCCAATCCTGGTGT